ACTCGAGTATATAGATGTTTTTACTCACACATCAGAGAAACACGTACGTCGCCATGCGGTTCCATTAAACTCGTAGCACCCGTTTCACTAACTCGACGACGGCTACAAAAGAGCTCATTGTCGGATAAATTCGATCCCACGCAGTTTCGTGTGTTGTTTGCGAATGCTTAGATTTGCGAAACGGAATTATATAAACATGTCAGTCGAAAACTGTAGTGTAAACGAGCGGTGGTACAGCTATAATCAAGTCACATAGTGATTTCGAAGAATTATCATGAAGAATTCTCTACAGTTGTTTCTACTTAGTCAGGCTTTTTTTATTTATCTACATTTATCTTCCAGTCGGAAAGTCATGAGAAAGCAGCATCGTTGAGTCTCTTTGACGCTTGACAAGCCTACAAAAACCCCGAGAGAATATTTTTTCCCCCTCCGAGCAGACTCAACTTCGATTCGTTTCAGTCATCATTATACTGTCAACCCATTTTCCATATTAGTTTATCCTTTTTTTCTCTTCTCATCAAGCATGGTAGATAAACGAATTCATATGTGAGAGTACGTAAAGTACGTAAAGTATAAAGTTGGAATTCTCATCTCTTTGTCACGAATAGCTCTATTCGTCGCTACAACGCGATTTGCAGCGCGGAAACCACTGTCGCGACTCATTAACGCGATCTCTCCGCGGTCGCGAACTTTTTTTCGCAAGAAATCCACCGGGCAAACGTAACGAGTGGAAACGATGCGGATAAAGAAGGGAAAGAGAGAAAGCTTCAGCAAAAGTTGAAGTCCCAACGCATCAAAGCAAGGATGCTCCTTCTGTCGGAAAATTAGGCCGCGTGACGTCTTTGAGGATTCTTCGCCGTCGCCCGCCCGCCGACTACTCCGTTTCAACGTTAACGAGAACATTCCTGCATTGATAAAAAAAAAAACAAAATTATTTTTGCGCGCTCATCGATGCTCAAACGCGAGAGTCGCGCGCGTCGTCTTTGAGGATCGGGTTTCTCCTCGTGATGGCCTTGGTGAGAGATCGAGGAACCTCCCTCTCTTACTATCGCAATATGCTTGAGAATTACGAATTCATGAAAAAACAAGCGCACTCATTAAGGTCTCGTCGTGATTTTTTTTCTTTTGTCCGTGCGTACACGCAGGCAATTGTATTTTATGCTGCGCACTCGACCATCATTCATCAACGACAAAGACTTTTCGGTCGAGCGATCGTTGGTTCCCGTTTTACTCATCCGTCTGTATAAAAATTATCATCGCAAACGATGAGTAGATGGAAAAGGATGAAGAGAGGAAAGAAGTAAAGTGGATTGCGTTCAGCGTATACGCACGTGAGAGCTGTCATCGAGCGAATGAAGAGGCCAAATTCGTGATAGGATTCGAAAAAGGGGAAAAAAGCCGCGGGCGAGGGTAACATTGGGAGAAGGAGAAAGGGAAAGGCTTTCTTTTTCGCTCTCTGACCGGCCATTCTCTGCGATGTCACAAAGTATAATACGAACTAATTACCACGTCGTCGTCAAAGCTGCACTCGACTGCCACTAGAGGACAATAAGTGGGTACTTTCGTCAACTTTTCTGCATACGTGGCATCGGAAGCGAACTCGCCTTCTGACATGCGAGCACAAAGGGAAAAAAGACGAGAAGCGAGAGGGATCGCGAATGAGAGCGAGGAATCTGAAGCAGGGAAAGAAAGAGAAGGAGCAAAAGAACATTCAGCAGCGGAAAATCATTGAGACAAGAAGAATCCGCGAAAGAACGATAGAGAGAGGATCGAAAGGGCACGAACGAGAGGAGCTTTCTTTCGGTTGATTAGACCCGCGATACGAAAGAAACTGGAGATGAGCGAAAATGAGAAAGAGAGGGCTCGTGCATGTTGTCGCCTCAAAGCTTCGTCGCCCCCTCGAGCTATTCTCTCTCTTTAGCGTGCGGTGCCATGCGTATAGAGTGAAAAATCAAAGCGGGTACCATCATCCGGCTACGATGACCATCGTGCGAATCTTCAAGTGAAAAATACTGTAATTAGCCTCTTCAGGGTCTTACCCCTAACTGGATCCCGTTTTGTCGGAAACATGTTCGACGACATTATCGTTGTATCTCTACCCGAAGAAAGGAGTAGGAAAACAAGTACACTGTTGGAAAATTTGTGTTAAATATAACATAAATCACATGTCCCAAACGGTTCACTCAAATTTTTGTTTTAATTTAACATAATATGGATGTGTTAAATGGTAACAAAGATACAATGTTAAAATATTTAAACACAAAGGAAATGTTATTCTGATCGTAATTTGAGGTTAATTATGTGTCCAATTAACGTAACTTTTATGTTGAAGTTAAGATTGTAAGATAAAATTAACACTCTTTTTCTGTAAATTTTTATTCCCACTTGTGTTATAGAGCAAAATCAGCACTCTTTTTCTGTAAATTTTAACACATTTAATAAATACGTTCAAATTGTGTTACTTTAACATATTTTTAAATTATTTTATTAATTTTACATTTTACATTTGTAAAGTTCAATCAACATAGTAGGCATATGTTAAATCTACACATGTATGTGTTGATTATTTTAGACAAAAATTTTAACAAGGACTTTTTTTAACAAAACTACAAAAATTTTCCAACAGTGTAGGCGAGCAAAGGGGAGGGAGGGCGGATGTGCGTACGTGAGTATGCGTACAAGAGTGCTAGGACCTATCTCCCTTGTTGTCATCGACGTTGTCGTTCTTTCTCGCTGCGAACGCAACGAACCTCCGGAGAGTCAGCGGGGGTAGCGTGGCGGAAAACTTCAAAGCCACCGAAACGATTGTTCGGCAACGCTCCCGTACCTATATGCGCCTCGAGAGGCAAGCGAAGGGGCGCAAGCACTCGCGAACGCGCGCGCGCCCATCCTTTTGATTACCTTCAAGCTACTCGTCCTCCTACTCCTTTTCTCTTTCTTCGTAATTCCCTCTCTTTTGGCAGAAGAGATGGAGAGCCGATGAAGAAGGGCTAAAACACATCGGAAGATTCGCGCCGTATTCCTTGTGCACGAAGCGCGAACGATGGAAAAGAGAAAAGAGTCTGCATGATGAAGGAGCACCGCTCTGCGTCAAGGCAAAGAGTGTCGCGCAGTGCTCGGCGTCTCTTCTCGGGACAGAGCGAGTTCATTGATTTTACGAGTATTCGCCTGACCTCATCGCCTTCAGTCGAGAAAGAGACGTCGATAAATTAATACTCTATCGAATCTTATCCTCTTCATTCTTCGTAAACGAAAAAAAGATTCAAATTATTATTATCTACGTTACTAACTCGCTGTAAATATATTTTGGTACTTTATTTTGCTTACGTTAACCCTTTGATGCACTAAACTGATTTCTATTTGTGTTAGTTTTTAGAAAAAGAGTACAAATAATTATTTATATATCTTTTACATATTTTTTTTTTATCTATTTATTATTATTTATATATATCTACTATGAATCTTTACAAGTATCTTGTGTGAAAGTTGTGTCGAAAGCTGTCAAAAATTCTGTATTAGATCCAAGCCTATCTAGAGACCTATTATAGACAAGGTCTCTAGAGATCTAGAGATCTTACTGTTAGTAGTAAATGTAAACTGACGGGTACTACTAGGTAGTCCTTCATCCATCATCCATTATAATCTGCGTATTCTTGTGAAAAGACGGCAGTAGTTAAGATTTTCAAATAATTCAATTCAGGTCAAGGTTTTTGCTATGCGCCAATTCAATTTTTGCTACCTGCCGAGTCGGTTTCAACAAATCAACTATTCGTTGATCCGTTATAACTAAGGCTAAATATCCGTGGCGAGGATCATAACTCGTGTAGTCTTGATCTTGAGAAGCACCATTCGGCGACTGCGACAACCGCAACGACGACCAGTATTTGAGCACTATCGTTGAGAATTACGAGCGTCATTATCATCCAGAGTAATGTTGTATCGGATCGAGTCCTCTCGCGTCTTAAGAGATACAGTCCGGTTGCTGAAGAACGAGGTCGTCGTCGCGGTGTATCTCCAGCAAGTGACAAAGTTGATTACATTCATAATAATTAAAGCTGTGATATTCGAACGATCTTAGCGAAATAATTGGCAAAGCTGTAATTCGACATGTGGTTCGCGATTTCTTCGTGTTTACTAATCTCGATTATTTATTTTGTTTGTGATACACTGATTCCATCTCAATAAGATAATTTCTAGTGATCTTATCGTTTATTTTTTAGTTTAAATCCTCGATCCAAGATCTTTGATTGGAATTTTCAATGTCTCATTCTGTACTCCAGGATTCCGTGAACTGGTTCTCAATTATCGACAGTAAATAACAGTCGCGCTCGAAAGTTATTAATATCTTAATTACGGGTTCTCGTTTTTGCGAGGACGTCTGGTCAATCTTTAAAGCAGGACAAGAGTCTGCTTGCACTGCTATGGCAATATATATGATTGTACGCAATCTTTATTAAATTTTTCTATCTTTCTCGTCGTACAACTGGATTATGAATTATCATAATTATACTTTTAAAAAACTTTTAGAAGCGTTAATCTCAATCGTTGAATAATCTTGTTATAACTATAATCTCTTATCATTCCTGACATTCTTAACAAATTGCTCATTAATTTCGATATATCTACTATAATTATAACTGCAATTTTTTTAAGTTTACCTAAATTTATTTTTTCAGCAATTGCATCATTCCTATCTTTAATCAGCGAATTATGAATTATAATTTTATTTTAATGCGCTGGTGTATTGGCAATGTAGGAACGTGAGCAAAGATCTATAGCAGGCGACATGAATTTGCGATATCCCCCCAGCGGATCGCGAAGCCTCGCGTTGCCGCGCAATCACGGGCGGAGGCACGCACGCGCTTGCGATTGAACCCCGGCCGGTGGAAAATTCGCGATGATGAGCGAGAGGCGCGACGCCGTATCGAACGGGGGAGAAGAGTCGGAAAGAGCGACAAGCACGCGGACGCGCGCAGCCGACGCGCGAGCATTGGATAAAAGCGAGCGTTACCGTGCGGCGTGTACATTTATCGCGCGTCTACGAAACCGTCAACTAGAACGACGATACGCGGGAAGACGCGCGTGCGGTGGCTCCGTAAACCGTGACTCTTAACTTAACCGTACGATTGGCCTGCGTTCCGTTTTCGACAACGATAAATTACACCAAGTAATCGGTACAAGCTTATCAAAAGTGACTTTGTGTCCGGGCACGAATTTGAGAGAAGACAAACCAACTACTCCGAATGCTCTTTTCTCATTGTCTTCTGGACTTCGAGCGGAGATAAGGGCGCAGCTCTGTCGAAATGGTGTGACGCGATTTCAGCAATAACAAATGATCCGAAAGCAAGATTTTCTGTCAAGCAGCGTTTTCTACTAAGACAAATAGAATGTGACGATCCAGGCCGGGACCAGGATTTACTTGAGAGGAAAATAGCACCGACGTTACACAGACCGTGATATCGACGAGGATACTACCGGCCGCGACAAACGCGGCGGGATGGAGAGCCGATAAAGAGCGAAAATACGAGAAAAGCATTCATCCGTACAATTGTTGGACGCGTGACGTCAATGGACTGGATATTGAGCCGATAATCGGTGCGATAACTGCACGCTACGTCGATACATTATCAGAAGGCAGTAACGTACAAGGGGAAACGAGACGAGGACAGACATCGCTGGAGAGCCGCGCGTCCGAGGAGCCCGACCGCCAACGTTGCGCGACGTAATCTAATCGGGACCGGCTGTCAGGTGAGAACCCAAGATAGCGAGATGTGGAATCCGTGGTGTATTTTACCGTTATAGCGTGTTATCGGAATTAACCAGTTGCTACGCGATCAAATTATCTCGTTGGATGATTCGTTAGATGCGCTTCGGTCGTTGCCTCGAAACAAGACTGTCTTGTAAAGGAAGACAAATGTCTTCCATAGCAATTAAGAGCAGGAACACGTAGATATTCATCTTGACAAAATTCTCGTTCTCGTCTTGAAGGGGAGACGTGTCTGTATCTTATCTTCAACTTTGTATTGCAAACCAGAAAGTATCGAGCAGTTGATACAAACGAAAGATGATTTTCCTCCGTGCTGCATATATTAGCGATCTACACTTGCTATAGGAAAATATATATGCAATGATATCGTGCAAATGTAAATCATACCGATAGCCCATCCACATCTAGTCGCTGTTAATTAAAATGATTATACTGAGAAAAGCCCATTAACACGAGTGTAAATAGCAATCGGGCGCGATCAGATTAGAGAAATTTCAATCTCGATGTTGCACGCCTTCGCTCTGTTTACGGTTTATTTAAAATCAACGTTGCATGCAGGTCGTGAATATTTAATAGTGGTAACAAATTGTCCGAGCGAATTATTCTTGCTTTTCAAATCGCAGTGATAAAGGATATCCTGATTCCTTTCAATCTGTCTGCATTGCTGTGTACGCGTCACGCAGTATCTGAAATCTCTCTCGTTGGTTTACCACTCAAATTTGTTCCGCACCCGATCATTCATTAGCGTCATGTATACCGGATAGTGCGCTTCTGCCGATCGATCTTATCTCTACCCAGCAGTACCGCGCACGAATAAGCTCGCGCTCTCGCGGAAAACGAGATCGTCATATTTCCGTGAGTATCAAGATCGGGGAAGTACACGTACCTATACTTCGACGCGCGAGATAAACTTGCGCGATTTTTCTCCGAATTTCTCGCATCACGGAAGGAAGAAGCTCGCTGGAGAAGGGAAGGAAAAGGTTCTGGCCGGCCGGGGGGGGGCTGGCCGGTTCCTCGAATTACCGGCGAAATTACCAGACGGAATTAGCCGCGGCGCGGTACATCACAATTAATTCGTAATTAAATCCTTTAGGTGGGAGGGTGGGGGCGTGGCCCCCCTATCGTGTATATAGCCGTGGCTCTCGCGTGGGCGGCCAGGGCGCTCCAAAGCATGCTCCGGCGAGCGAGCGCGATGATGTCAAGGGGGGAGCCGCGTATCGCCGCGCCGGTGTGACAGCAGGAAATAAAGGGCAAGCCGTGCATTAACGTCGACGGTCAAAGGGTCGCTCGAATATCGACCGAGAGACGGTCGACAGTGTTAAATTGCCATTTGTCGGTCGGGGAATGTCCCCGCTTGCGCTTCGTGCTCGCGCTGACTCTCGTCCGATATATGTGTGTCGTTTGGCTCGTATACTTTGACTTTCTATCGATGAAATCCTAACGCTCTCCTCATGACATCGCGCTGTGTCACTTTTAGTACATCGTCGAGTATTTCCCTTCATTTCAGTTCATTCTCTATTCAACATCTCTATCCGCTTACACGTGCAAATAGATGCGATAAAATATTTTGTTGGAGTGCAAATCATGTTAATCGCACAAGCGACACGCTTCATAATAAAATCTTTCTTGACTGCATTTTCTTTGTACATGTGTATGCATGTGTACGTATCTCTTGCATTTAAAATAAAATAAATTAAATATACTTAAGATTTGGAGCAAAAGAGAACAAAAAGAGATATATAAGATATATAAGATATATAAGAAAGAGAAATGTAAAGAGTACTTAATCAAACAAGCATATTCGTTATTTATATTTTAACAAATAAATTCGTGCAATACATTTTAGTATTTTCTGCATGCCTCGATGTTAAGCCTGCTTTTTTGAACATACATTAAACATATATAGATTATAAACTATCTCATTTTAAATTGACTTATAATTCTGAGTTTATTAACACTGCGCGGACACCGTGGGCCTTTTAAGGCACAGTCGATTTTTCACTTATGATTCCCACGGGACGCTTGCGTCAGCTCCCCTCTCAAAAAAAAAACTTGGTTCCGGCCTATATAAGTATAGAAATCACTTTTTGAAATTTTAAAGATGATACATGAATTTGTATAGATTTTTTGTAACACAGAAACGCTTTCAAAAACCCTTTGGACTTAAAAGTCCCAGGGGGTCCGGGCAGGTGCTCCAAAAACACGGTGTCCGCGCAGTGTTTATACAATTGTTAGTGCTGGTCTACAACCTTGCTTTAAAAGGTATTTAAGCTCTAAGCCGTAAGAATAAATTGATCAATCACAATCGAATATTCTCCTCACATTCCATTGTGATTGGTCAATTTCTTACGGCTTAGAGCTTAAATATCCTTTAAAGCAAGGTTGTAGACCAGCACTTACTCGATACGAATAAATATTTATATTTAATGTCCAAAAACATAGAAAATAAATATTTTTTTAATTACCATTAAATATTAATACCATTAAATATCAACTTATGAGTTGAATATTACATCAGATGATCTATTAAAAAAGGCCATTAGATACATATTAATGATATACATTGAGCAAACAGTTGTGAACATTAAATGGCAGTTTATTTTGGAAAAGATTGATCAAAATGACTTGACAAAAATAAAATTCTGGGAAAAGACCCAGTCTCAGAGAACCCTCACAAATATAGCTCCCAGATTGTTTACCATAGGATCGCACTCGATGTGGCCGAAGATTACTTTCGCCATCCTGATCGCGTTTCTGATCGAGTTTCCGGGCAACGCGGAAAACTCGATACGAATTACCGCCCGGGGGTATAATATCGGCCATCCGAGCCTAGTCGCATCCTCTCCGGCGCCAAGTGGAAATCCCGTCTGATCCCTTCTGTCGATTTCATGTGCGTCACGTTCATCCTCTCTTCAATCCACATCGCGTGGCTTTTATTACGCTGTTATTATTACTAAGACACAAGGATTAGTGATAAAGACTCAACTACATATAATTCTACAATAAGCACGATTTTCGATATTGAACATCGTCATTTACATATATAGACTACGAGTGTGCTCTCCGATATGTATAATAGGACAGGGACATTTAGATTTAATATCGATTATATAAATTATATTTTATTCACTTACCCAGCAAAAACAATGCAACATGTAACATACAGGTTAGTTGTAATTTCCTACTCAACAATATAAATGCAATATAATACACGTGTACGTTGTACGTTACATGTTGCATTGTGTTTGCTGGGTAGAATCTCGAATATTTAATTGTTTATATTATCGAATCTCGAATCTTTCCCCGAAAAATATCAATCATCTGTAGTGTCAATATCGCTCGTGATAATTGAAAAAGTTTCTACAATACATTGTCTACGAAATGATTATAGCCCCCTTTTAAAATTTGTTTTGTTACATGTATATCTTATTTCTTGTCAAATGTGCCGCTATACCAGTCGATCGTAATGCATCAAATGCATGCTGTGCAAATGAATATAGTATAGGCGAATAAAAATCAATATTTTTTTTCCAAAAATCCGGTTCTTTATCTCTCGCAATGCAATGAAAACTTTAAAGCTCTATATAACAGGCAGATAAACGTACCTACGCGGCATACAAAATATAAGCGAAACATGAGTTCTTTCATTCCCGCATATGTGTTTCTCGTTTAATATATACACTTTCATAAAGTGTTTATCAGACAAGACTGTGTATATATATTCTCTATATATAGACATATATATACGAGCCTTATTTCTTTCTTTTTTGCATCTCCGCTATTCTCATTCACATCGTGACCAGGCTTTAAGACAGATCGTAACTGAGAAGTTGACTAAGAACATCGTAAACCATAAGATATCTCTTTAAAAAAATACGCAGACTATTTAAAATATATAATTTTTAACAGAAATATAACAGAAAATACTGAAATCGATTTTATGAGTAAATTTATTATTGTAATATGAAAATATATTGCATGTGCTTAATAATAGTATTTGATACAAGCTCGAAATACTTATCTCACTAGTCATACATTGTTGTGGTGCTAAAATTTTACATACAAAACATGTTCCACTTTACTTGATATTTTCATGTATTTGCAAAGGAAAATATTAAGATACTTAGCTAAGAGAAATCCCGTCTGGTGCAACAGTAAGAATAAATCTGCTGACATTCTAACAGCCAGCTTCTCGATTCATCTGGTCGATGTACAATCGCGCGATATAGTTAAAGTTCACCTTGCGATCGAAGGTGCCGACAGAACAAGAAGAATGATGCAGTCGCATTATCAGGTAGCGCCATTAGCGCTACGTCAAAGGGGTAAACCAGTCACGCACACGTGCGTAAGCGCACTGTAATGGTTCGCGAGGCACGACGAGGCGTGCTCGTTAAAAAACGCGTTATATTACACATATCGGAATTGCACGCGCAAACGTACGCGTTCTGAAAGAACATAGCGCGCCGCGACGCCTTTGTCGCGTCGCCAGCAACACGCCGACGTCAGAATTTCGGTATAAAAAAAAGCGCGCTCAAAAACGCTGAGGAAAATCACCCGGAGAAATCATCGTCACCGAATTCCCGTATTTTCATGCAAATTTACGCCGTTGCAGTCGCGGTCGCGTTCTCCTTCCTCTTCGTCCTCCGACGCGTTGTTCTCTTTCGCCTTCGTGTTCTTAACTCGCGTCGCGTCGCACCGCGTCGTTCTTTCCCCGTCGTCGCCGTCGTCGCGTCTTTTGTCTGTCTGCCTCTGCTGGTCCGTGCGAACGGTTAGGAATTAGTATTCGACGCCGCGTTTCCACGGCCTTTTTTCGTATGCCGTCGGGCAGGTCCGAGACCAACGAAACATGCGGGAGCAACGGAATTTTTTCTACGACTTTTCCCGCTTTTTTAACGCCAGGAGGGAGATGCGTTCGTTGTTGGTACGTATGTTGAACCGGACGTACTTCGAATGCGAATCGTCGTTTACCGCAGTTGGAACG